GATGATCACGTCAAAAAGGTTAATCTTTGGATTCAGCTTAGGCTCAGAATTTCGAAAGAAAACGGAGATATACTGAAACAGCAGCGCAGTTTGCTTTCTACAAAACAGGCTATCACAGAAATCAAGTATCCCTCATGCAAAGCAAGACTACGCAGCGAGGTCTAATTTTTTTTTTTTTCAAAAAGTCCACAGCCTGATATAAGCCCTCCACCCTGAAATAACGTACTCTACTTTTCAACTAAATCTGGGTCCTCTGCAACAAAAACTGCCGCCCTCTGCCACACGATCTTGAAGATTTTGGACGCTGCAATTATAAAGTACAATTTTCCTTTTTTGAATAAAGTTACTTCTTCTTGAGAGGAAATATTCGCGAGGCTAGGCGCATTCATCTCGTTAGTTATCATGGAATTGTCGATACGTATGATAATTTTCTTCAAGTCTTCGCGTATCTAAAATTGACAGCAATTCGAGCAAATCTGAAAACAAAATAAGCAACCGAAATCCAACAGACAGAGATGAGTACCAGAAAGGCAACGTTTCTGCGCAGTTTCAAGCATGGTCAATTGGCAAAAATGCCTATAATACTCGGGTTTGACATGATCCTTAAAGGATCAGTGTGGGGAAGTTCGGAGCTTTCGATTTAATATATGTTTCGTTCTAGATCAGCAGCACGTGTAGTCGTAGGTGGGAGTGAACAATACAGAATGAACCAAAGCCACTCCACATGTCCCGGATCGTCACCTTCTGGCTTCAGTAAATTTAGATTTAGAAAGAATACTAAGACTAGTGGGACAGTCTATGTGGAAATTGGATATTAGCACTGGCACTGGAATATAACAACACGTTTTGAGCAACTGCGCCGAGTTTTTCAAGTCATTCTTTCGAAGTGTGTCGATCGGCCGTTTACGTTATCGTAGAACGCACTTACAGCTATGCATTGCTTACCGGCTGTGTTGCCAAGACAGTAGCTTGACCTATTTTCTTTGTTAAGCAGTCGCTGTAACATCCTGCACACCGGCTATTTGACAGATACCCTGACTGGTACACGGCCACTAAGGCAAGCCCCAAACACATATGAATGCAGCAGGCTTGGAGAA